TCATATATTCTTCATATCACTCATTTTTTTTCTTTTTCTTTTTTATTATGAATCAACTAAAATTCTTTGGTTCTCCTTTCAGCTTTTTACTTTCCTTCATTTTACTTTCCCATTTACTTCCTCTTCCAGAATTTTAGCATTATGAATCAACTAAAATTCTTTGGTTCTCCTTTCAGCTTTTTACTTTCCTTCATTTTACTTTCCCATTTACTTCCTCTTCCAGAATTTTAGCACAAGTTTTTCTTTCTTTCCACCCAGCTACCCACACATTCATGTAACCACCCCACCACTTACCCACCATCGTACCACCCACTCATCCCCACAATCACCCGCCCACTCAACCACCCAGACACTTGTTCACCCCCCCCATCAAAATTCAAACAAAGTTGTTTGAGCATTTCCTTTGTCACAAAATGAGCTCATAAATATGTTATACATAAACTGCTAAATATTTCATAAGTCTAATCTTCCCTCATTTAAAATAAACCATCTTTCAATAAATAAAAAAAATTAAGTCATAAATCAATAGGGAAAGTTATGAACTAATTCTGATAATAGCAGGGGTATTTTGAAGCAAATTAGTAAAAGCTTTGATATGCAATACTCATATAATGTAACAAACATCACTTTATGAATACTAATTAATTCAATTTGATGTTAATTCTATAGTTCCTCAAAGTTCTGCCCGATAGCCCCTACAATCTGACCTGCTGAAACCACTTTATTAACAGAATTAAAACTGAAGGTTACATACTCCAGATATCATGAACAAGCCACTGAACCACACAAAAATCAAAATATGTAATGTTCACCCCCTTTTTAGAAGATTATTTAGCTTAATTAGGAAACTGCAGAGCCTAGACAGATAGCAAGAATAAATTCAAATGTATACCAGAATTTCTTGTGTGTTTAGGAGAAGGAAGATGAATCTTTCTCACCATTTTCTATGGAATTATGAATACCTTTTTATACCTAAACTTTGGTAAAATTACATTTTTGGACATACAAGTAGTACAGGGTAAACTAAATGGATTTAGTAATTTGCAGATGGGGAAAGCACGGAGGCTGTGGTAAACCCTTCCCTCGGACTGTGCCAAAAGGGCACAACCACACACGGCAACTTATGCTATTGAACAAATTGTTTTAATCTTACACAAGTAAGCCCATACTGTTGAGAATTACCCACAATATTTATATACTAGTACCTTACTGAATCCTATGAAAAAATAAACTATCTAAAAATCAAGATGAAGTATTCAATCTACTGCAAAATAAATATACTGACCCATAATATTTTCCATTATTATGGTTATAATGATCTATAGCAAAAGTCCGGCTACAATCACTTACCATGAGACTATGCAAGCATAACCAAATCCAGTAATACCATGGCCTCTGCTCTTCATACCCCAGCAAAGGCAAAGAAATCCCTACCAAGCACTGACTGGCAAAATATAGCTTGTCCACCATCCTACACATTTATAGTCAATTAAGGAATCCATTTAGGGCCTATCTCGGTAAATGTATGCTAGGGAAGGTACATTCACCTTTGTAAAAAAGCGAAGTCTGAAGGCCATGGCATTACTTTTAATGATCTCCTTTCAACAACACCCTACAGTACGTTTATCCAAAGTTTACACTACAGATCCACTACTAAAAAACCCATTCTCAGAACATCATTATCTTGACGTATTTCCCAATGAGAAAAACAGAAAAAATTGGGAATGTATAATGCTCACCCTTGCATTATACTTTCTACTTTTACTATGCACAAAGTAGCCTATCTTAAAACAAACATACCATTTCAATATTATGAGAAAAATAATAAGAAAATATATAATAACAAAATTGAAAATTATAATAATGATGCAACTCAGCCCAAATTCTTTCTTATACACAACAAAATTGTACATACACAGGCGAGTCACTCCCAATCAAGTTTATAAAAAAAAAAAAGATGTAATTTGGATAACTCCAAAGTTCACACTCAGCCTAAGCCTATGTGTCATCCACATAAAGCCTAAATTAGGCCAAAATCATTTTTTTTTCTGTCCACAAATAGTAAAACAATATAATCAAACACAATCATTAATAAAGTCGAGTTTCCACAATGACCATATTGAACTTCCGCAGACCCTATAGCTCCTCTCCAGCTTAGGCCTCCTTGGCCACACTCCTCCAGGAACAGGAATCAGTCTCACAAAAACCACGCACTGCACAGCACACACGTACAGAGTAAGAACGGAATCACTCACGAAGCCAAGCGCCGAGGACGACCAAGTGCTCCTCGAAGGCCTAAAAAACCTTGGGCGGGAAGTTCCTGTCCGCACCTAGGCCTATCACGCCCCGCCTCCTTCCTCGTACAAATCTAGGCCTACCGACGCGTTCCTCCCGCCAAACGAGTTGCAATTCGGAATCTCTAAGTCCTTCTCGTGCAACAACTCGCCCAGACCGATCAAGAGAACGATACGAACAGCCGATTAAATCACCTTTTCTGATA